CCAACACAAAATTAATTGTTGAGTGCGGACCAGTAGTTGCGGAGATTAGCGTGTTCAAACATTAGTATAAATAAGAATTTCAACCATAAAAGTCCCTTTTTAAGCATCCATTAGCAACTTCAAAACCATTGAGATTTAGATAATCTGATCAGTTGATATACTCAGAGGTATTTAATGGCTATTCCAACCATTTTGATTTGGTTTCGGAAATAATTCATATTTACTGTTTCAAAACGAATCTAAGTATGGTAGTAATATTCTCTTAATATCATTTAAATTCACCAGAATTTTAAGATGAAAATAATACACATTTCTTTACAATCAGTAATTAAAAAAATTGATCTTACACCAACACCGTTTTTACATTTCTTTATATTTCAGATGGGTAACTGTGTAACACACAAATTATGAAGACATGGTTGCGAATTTCAATGTTTACATGTGAACATTAGCTTATGACGATACCTAAGTACGTGTGTCGCCTGGACAGTCTACGCTACATCCTTGTTGACTGGACAATCTCTGCACTACATGAGCTGCTGTTTACATGTGAACATTATAAAAAGACGTAGCCATGTCATCACAGTTGATGAAATCCTATTTCCGATTTAATACAAATGAGAAATTTTCGTAATATCAAATCATTGTTTTAATACGGATCGACTGTTTTTGACAAAAATACAAAATCTCTGTTTCAAAGCATACTCCATCTCAGTCTACTTGATGGTAAGCAGTTACCGTGGTCTGATTTTAATTAAAAAAGTGAGTGTGTGAGACATACTAAATATATTAAAAATTACGACCTACTCACGTGAATTAATTGAGAAAAGCTAGTAATACTTAGTTTGAAATCAAAACGCGCACGCTGCTAATGAATAAGCCTCCCGTTGTGACTTGAAGCTAGTAGAGCTTTTCTCGTTAATTTACGTGAGTAACATCCGGTTTCCGAAAGGCCGATCAATATTAAAATCAGTTTAATCACTTGTCAAGTCATCTGATTGGTTGTTGATAATTCAGTCAACCAATCAGATGACTTGACAAGAGATTTGACACCTAGTTAGTTGATTTTAACATTGATCAGGCTTTCGAAAACGTGGCTTAAGTCATTATTGTTAATAAATTAATAATGACCCGCTAGATGGCGTATCGCATTGTACACGAACACCCGGTAGATGGCGTTAAAATCAATTCATATCCCATATAGGTTAAAAACTTCATTTTTAACAAAAACAGTCGTCCTTATTGGAAATGTTTGAATATTTTTGTTTACATTATCAGTTTTATAATGTCTCTGAACATGAGACTTTGTTTACTGTAGAGTTATGAGCGGAGTAATGATAAAACTATTTTTTAGTTACAGCTTGCTTGAATATTATCATTTTTATTGCTATTGAAATAGAGTGGAAAGTCCAAAACACAATACTAACACAGATGTACTATTTAACACCATTCTTTCTCCAGTTATGTAAGACTCAAATAAAATACAAAATATGACGTCCTACAAAAAAATAATTATACCATTACTCCACTCATACAATGTTATTTTGCAAATCAAAACTATATTTCATTCGGCAAACATTTCAATTTACTAAAACACCCTAAAAAGGATCAGCAGTGTATGTAGCCTAGAGTTATTTAATAAACAGATAATAAAATAAAAATTGACTGAATACAGAGTAAGCAGCTATTGTTACAGTTAAGTGTGGGAGAGCCATGCTTCGGCACGAATGGGTCGGCTCGACCGGAGTGATACCACGGCCTTACAGAAAACCGGCGTGAAACAACCACAGCGTTGTGTTGTGTTGTGCTTTATATGCATGACGGTTCGAAACCTGGCAAGTACCAATGTGACTTTTTCCGAGTTATATGTACTTCCTATGATTATTTAGACACCACTGACATACGGTGAAGGAAAACCTAGACTTATAATTTCTAATTTTAAGTTTAAAATCGGCAATCCGCCCTGAGAAAGGGTGGTGGTTAATGCTCAAATATTCTCCGTGTTAGAAGAGGCCTTTGCTCAGCAGTGGACACTTATAGGCTGATTATGATGGGCTAAGTGAACAAAATTACTGTCTCTTTTTTTCAATAGTAACTATCAAGAAGAGACAAGCTCAATTTATTAAAACTAGCGACCCGTCCCGACTTTGCACGGGTGAAATGCTGATACTAAATTTCTCCACTGTTTAATGGATGTTATTATACATATAAACCTTCCTCTTCAATCATTCTATCTATTAAAAAAACACGTCAAAATCCGTTGAGTAGTTTTAAAGATTTAAGCATACATAGAGATATAGGGACAGAGAAACCGACTTTGTTTTATACTATGTAGTGATAATTACTAACTCAAATAAATTAACTAAGAAAAAAGCAGCGACGCGAACGCTCCTCCTGAATAAGAGTCCCGTTGTAACTTGAAACTAGTCGAGCTTTTCTCGTTTTAGTTCTTTCACGTAACTCGTCGTTTTAACAATGGTTAATGTATCTGTATTAAGTCAATATTTATTTTCTTAGACATCTAATATTTACGCAGACTGTTCAGGTAAAAAACTCCAAATATGAACCAATTATACGCGATCCTGGTATTCAACATCGATGAAAAGTTAAAGTCCATTTGTTTGTTTAAGGACTGATTTTTAATGGTTAGATAAAAGTTACCTGGGGAATAATTATGATGCTGTCGCGTCAGAATGTCTGTATAAGACAGTGACAGCAACAATTCTATTCCTCAGATAACATTTATCTGACTATTGAAAAATCTGTCTTCAAGAAAACAATGTCTAACTAAAATGATTACCAAATGAAATACAATTTTGTAAGTATTGTCCCGAATAAACTTAATTTTTACTTAGAAACTAATGTTGAAATTAATGAGAGAATTGATTTCGAGAATAATAATTGTCGGTTGAATTATTTAAAGAGTTATCAGATCACTCCAGTTTCGTTTTACAAGGGTAGATGTCCAGCTGTGGTTCCCTCAAGCGCTTTAAGATGCCGCGGCCTTGGCATGGAGCAGGAGAAGGAATGGGGGGGGGGGGGGGTTTTTAGTCAGTAAGAGTCTGAAACTCAATCTCGTCCCATACAGGAGTTGATCACGTATCAATCGCGTGATCATGTGGACTGGTGTCACCGACGGCTGAGGCGCGGGCGCGGGGTAGAAGACCTGCGCCCGCGCAGCTCTGCGGGGGACCACTTCACCAGTAGACGGCTTGACCGACACTTGTGTCCCTTAGTTCTCTGTACACCTACTTTCTTTGTTACTTTGTAATATACTTCATTTTAAACTAAATACAGTCCACATCATTTTTTATCTCCCTGAAGCTCCTGAACAGGAGTCATTGGATGACTTTCGCTCCTCAAAAAATGGAGATATTACAGTAGAATGCGTTTATACTGAGATATACCCTCATTCAGAAGCAGTGATTTGTCTAGAGAGAGGTTAAGTTAAGTATTATTAATATCTCTCAGAGATCTCAAACTGATAAGGTCATTATGGCAAGTCCTTCTTTTATGAAGGAGGTGTGAGAGGGCCAAAGTCCAACAGTGGATTTTTACGAAAAGTTGAACGAACCGACAAAATTATTTTCAAAACCCAAAACTCCATAGTGGGCAAAAACTAAAAAAAAAAAATCGGGCGAGAAAACCTATAATACACTTAAAATAAGTTAAACTTATTCGTACGTTATGGTTAACCATAGAGTCAAAGGAGGTCGTAGTTTCAAAAACTTAAAAAGAAACGTGTTGACGTTTACTAATCTATGATTTTGTTTTTTTATTATTTATTTATTATTATTATTATTTATTTTAAAAAAATGAATGACTAGATCCATGTCTGTATGAGATCTTTCCGACTACGTGGTTTTTCCTTTGACGTTTCGACTTAGGTGGGTAAGCAGGGATACAGGTCTTTATAACTAAGAGGTACTCTTTATAAAAATATTGTATGTTTGTAGGTGATTTTATTAATATGACGGCGCGTCGATTATTTGAATTGAATTTTGATGGGTCGGCTCGGCCGGAGTGACACCACGGCCTCACAGAAAACCGGCGTGAAACAACCACAGCGTTGTGTTTCGCCGTGTGAGTGAGGTTACCGGAGGCCCAATCCTTCCCCTACTCCAATCCCTTCCCAGTCCCAAAATCCCCAAAATCCCAATCCTTAAAAGGTCGGCAACGCATTCGTAACTCCTTTGTTGCGGGTGTCCATGGGCGGCGCCGATTGCTTACCATCAGGTAATCCGTGTGCTCGTTTGCCGTCCTATCACATAAAAAAAAAAAATGGAGGTTTGATCACAATTCATCTGACGAGGGTACAATGAATCGTACTCTGGCGGAACGTCAAACTGACAGTTCTGCGTGCGCATTATGTTGGAGAGCGAGCGCTGTGACTGACATCTGAGACGGATCGCCGACGTCCGTTATTTTTGTAATTTATTCGGTCTGATTATAAAATCCTACGCCTTGCAATGGACTGTGAAGACGATGATCGGGATGTTGATGTTTGTACCAACCCCCCGGTGCCTTCATATATTATATTATATTTTTAGTGTAAACATTCGTTTGTGAACCAAATTAATCTTTGAGGAAGGCCTGTTTGATGTAGTAGACGTTGTGTGACAAATTCTAAAAATACCTCCAATTATCTCCATATTACAGATTTTTTTTTCAATTTACTATTATCAAGATAATTACAACCTTTACAAGCGTTTGGAGAGGGGTAGAATATTTATTACTACCGTTTCTCTTCCCGTGGGTTTCATATAACTTAAAAATGTGTAATATGTAGTCCTATATTGAAAATACCAATTCAAGTTAGACGATATATTTGTACCTAGGATAAAGTTACACTAAAGGACAGACGGACATATTTTTTTTATTGCTTTTATGTCATTAATAAGCGGTGTTTTAGAGGTCAAGTGACGTCATCAACAAAAACGATATGTTTTTTAATAAAGAAATAATAATATTTCGAACAAGCCTGTTATTACTAAGTTTTTCCTTAAGATAAATCTTTAAAATAAAATCAAGTACCTTCTTCAGTTACAAAGCCTAGATCCCTGCCTACCCTCATATCTATAGTATGTACATATAATATTATTGCTTTGTGAATATGTTGTTAACGACGCGGGTTCCGCGTGTCAGGATGTGGTCGCCTCTGTGGGTTCAGTACTGGAAATATAACGACATATTAGACTTAATAAAAAAACCATTATAATTATCTTCTGAAATGTAGGAGAGAAATCCTTCGGCACGAATGGGTCGGCTCGACCGGAGTGATACCACGGCCTCACAGAAAACTGGCGTGAAACTCCCACATCGTTGTGTGAATAAGGGTAGCGGAGGCCTAATTCGACCCTGATCACCCAATACCCTCATTTTGAACCTTCCTTACCGGCTAAAGGAGGAGTCTTCTGGTGTTGGGTGTCGATGAGCAAAGCCATTTGCTTACCATCAGGTAATCCGTCTACTATTAAAAATACTTAAAGACGCATACCACAAAAAATACTTTTGTCTAACTTGGGCTTACAAACACTAGACTTTGCTTGGCAGACCTACTAGCTACTTAGAATTAAGTTTGCTGTTTAACCCTTTGAGTATGGAAACTTTAAAATACATAAATAATGAACAGGGCTTTATATAAAAAAGAGACTTTATACTACACTAACGCCACCTGTTGGACCGAAAATGAAAAGTTTAAGATTTTACATTCTTACCTGGATGTACCGCCCCGGGTGAACGCCGACACCAGGTTCCGGGTGTCATCTGTAATTTTAGGAAAAAAATTTTTTTTAGATATTATGTAGGTATTATAAGGTAATTAAATCAAAATAATTTCAATTTTTAGTGATCCAAAAATTTTAGTACTTAGTAGTACGGTAGTTTCCAACTATTGAAATTCAATACTTTTATCCAAATGTCGAAAAACGGTATTTTCTAAAAAATTTGGATCAAACTGCAAATTATGACGTCACAGTATTTTTGCATCAAACAGCTTTCGTTACAAATTTCTTAAAAATGTAGCTAAAAAATATCGAAAACTTAAGAGTATCGACAGATATACTACAAATATAGTATATCTATTTTTAATTACTTTTTTTGCACATGGCGTGGTACGTTCATAGTGGGTTAATTCAGGGTATCACCTATCTACATCCAAAATTTTAACCGAATCCGTCCAGCCGTTTTTGTTTGAGAGACTAACAAACCTACATACAAACATTCTCACAAACGTTCACATTTACAATATTGGTAGGATGGTAGGTTAGTAGGATAGAAGAATTGTGTAATTTCAAGTTAAAAAATAAATTTTTCAATACAATAAAATTATTGAAAGATAACTATTTTTTATACTATATCATAATAATAATCATCGATCGATCGATACACTGCATTTTAAATATTTTTAAGTTGTAAGTAAACTATTTGACACAAAAATACTATGACGTCATAACTCAGTTTTTCATACAAATTTCATAGAAAAGTGTAGTTTTTGACATTTGGATAAAAGTATTGAATTTGACTAGTTGGAAACTACCGTATTAAAAGTTAAAACAGACTTACTTGTCTGTATAAATAAGGCTGCCTATAAAGAGGCACATTGAGTCCCCTGTTCCTAGCATCGTATCGATCGCCGACCGGTTGTCCATCGCTGGGCCTGGCCTCCTTTTCTATGGGCTTATTATTGTCCTCTCTGTCACGACGCCGGAAATCCGGCCTCTCTTGTTTATTCTCGAAGCGTTGGTAGTCGCGACGATTGTCTTGGTGATCTGTGGAGAGTAGAAAAAAGGTTTTATTTTCATTTTTTAACCGAAGCCCTTATCCCTAAAAGGCAACGCATTCGTAACTCCTTTGGTATTGCCTCAGGTAACCTCACTCACACGGCGAAACACAACGCTGTTATTGTTTCACGCCAGATTTCTGTGAGACCGTGGTATCACTCCGGTCGACCCATTCGTGCCGAAATTACACTAGGTAATTTTGAAACATTAAATAAAGAAAACTTCATCATCATCATCAGCCTATAAGTGCCCACTGCTGAGTAAAGGCCTCTTCTCATACGGAGACGGTTAGAGCATTAATCACCACGCTTGCTCAATGCGGGTTGGTGATTTCAAACTTATAATTAGAAATTATAAGTCCAGGTTTCCTCACGATGTTTTCCTTCACCGTATGTCAGTGGTGTCTAAATAATCATAGAAAGTACATATAACTTGGAAAAAGTCACATTGGTACATGCCAGGTTTCGAACAACGTTAGTGTAAAAGAAAATGATTATATATAACTTACATGTATTTTTGGCTTGCATGCTCCGGATTGAATCGACGATGGCGCGCGCGGCTGAACTCAGATGTCTGTCTTCCGTACCGCCACGACTAGGCACAACAAACATATATTATAATCACTACATATTATAAAACAAAGTAGCTTTTTATGTCCCTATATCCCTATGTATGCTTAAATCTTTAAAACGGATGTTGATGCGGTTTTTTAGTAGATAGGGTGATTGCAGAGGAAGGTTTTTACAAGTCTAGTGGCTAGTATATTACACTAGCCACTAACCTTACTAATATAATAAAGAGATAAAATTTGTAATTTCCAAGTTTATTTGTAGGGGGTATTCTTTGGAACCGCTAGTCGGATTGCCAAAACTCTTTCACTGAGTGCTATAGGCTATAAAACATCACGATACGACTAAATGGAGCAGCGGGTGAAACTGCGCGAGGGAACTAATATTATAAAAGCAAAAGTAACTCTGTCTGTCTTTTCTTCACGATTAAACTACTAAACCGATTTCTGCGAAATTTGGTACACACATATTTTGGAACACGAGAAAGGACATAGGATAGTTTTTAAACCTAAAATCTGCGGAAAGTCACTATTACACATGCGATAAAATTCGTGGGCAAGAGCTAGTACTTAATGATAATTTCGGCATGTGCTATAGTCCTTTCATAGTTCCCATCATACCAGTCCATAGCAACCCACACCCATAGCCTTATCCTTTGCTGCCATTATCCGCAATAGTACTACACTAAACGGGGACTGTCCTTGGGTGCATTTCCATAGTGCATACAGGGACAGACGCCGGTTTGTTTCCCATTTCATTTAGATTAAAGTTGTCTAAAGGGCCTCTGCACAGCTACAACAGCTTGCTCTGAAGTACTCCCTTGTGGAATTCGAAGTGCCGTACTACAGGTATGAGCCCGACCCAGTCCTTGATAATGGTCATATCACCTTGTACTGGGACCGGTCTATCATCACAAACAGGACTATTGTGGCCAATATGCCTGATAAGTGGTGATGGACCGAAAGGAGAGGCGTGCAATGATTGTTGACATAGCCGTCCCACATGACGAGATCCCCGTGAAAGCTGAGGAAGATAAACTAATCAAGTACTAATATTGACTTGGCACGCGAGGTTGTCGACATGTGGGAAGTGGATTCAGCTATCATTGTACCGACAGTCGTGTCAGCCAATGGCTTAATAGCTAAGAGCCTCGACCAACACCTTAGGAAGCTCTCGTTAGGTGGCTGGATTAAGGGCTTGATTCAGAAAGTGGTACTCCTGGACACGGCGCATTGTCCGGAGATTCCTTTCTCTGGAGCCCTGACCACCGGTTGCTTGGAACCCTCCCGTAACCGGTGGGATACTTGGGATGCTTTATATATTTTTAATTGTTTTTCTTTTGTTTTGTTTTGTGAAAATATTTAACAATGTAAAAATCAAGTTTAAAAATAAATAAACTCACCCAAAAACTCGTCCATTATAATTGTTGACTGGGCAGTTGCCAAGCAGACCGTTGCCGTTATTCCTTCGTTGTCGGAAATCGTCGCGTTTCCTATACTCTTTTTCTTTCCCATCTTTAGTATTTAATTGGGCCATTTGCGTCTTAATTTGTTGTATTTTGGCTGTAATTTCTGAATTTTGTCTCGATTTCTTCTCTTCTTCAGCTAATTTGTCCTCTTGGAATGGAGTTTGGCAAGCTGAGTTGGATATGGAGTTGTGTTTGGAGTTGCGATTGGAGTTGCGTTGTTCTGTTTGCTTTTCGATGACCGGGTACATGGGTTGGCATACTGGATACGGTTGTTGGATCACCTAGAAGTGAAATGTTGAGAATTTTATTAACTAAAACCTTATTCTATGTTTATAGGTTTAAGTCTGGGAGAGCCATGCTTCGGCACGAATGGATCGAATCGACCGGAGTGATACCACGGCCTCACAGAAAACCGACGTGAAATAACCACAGTAGGCCCAATTCTTAGCCTCCCTTCATTCCTCCTCAATCCCTAAATCTCCAAATCCCTAATCCCCAAAAGGTCGGCAATGCACTCCTAACTCCTCCGTTGCGGGTGTCCATGGGCGGTACTGATTGCTTACCATCAGGTAATCCATTTGCTCGTTTGCCGACTTATGACATAACAAATAGGCTTTTATCTAATGCTACAGATAAGATTTTTATTAATTTTGGTGCATTTAAAAGTATTTTAAATTGGAAATTATGATTCATTAAAAAAGCTTATGACCACAGATTAAAGAGATTTCAACAGATTATAAAAACTTTCCTGGTGTTATACTAGTAAACCAGAAACATGAAAATAGATAGAGAGGAAGCTATTTAAGAAAAAATCCGGTGTGGGGCAAAAGTTATTATTAAAAAATAAAAAATAAACATTAATATACTACAGATACAGATAATTCAGCAATTTTATTCTACATTCAAATTAAGTGTGGGAGAGCCAAGCTTCGGTACGAATTGGTCGGCTCGAGCGGAGTGATATCACGGTCATAAGGCTAAAGAAAACCGGCGTAACTCCGTTGGTATTACGTATGTCTACGAGCGGAGCCGACTGCTTACCATCAGGTAAACAGCCTGCTCGTTTGCCAACCTATCCCATAAAAATTATATTATTTATGTATTATGTATATGTTATATGTGTATTTGTAGGTTATATTTATTGTATTCATATATTATATTTTTGTATTATATGTATATGTTGCCTTATATGCCTATGCTTTTAAATAATTTGTGTGCTTGTTTAGAACCTATTGTTAACACTTTTCTGCATCATCCGTGAGGTTGACTGATAGAGAATGCCTTCGGGCATTAAGTCCGCCTTTGTATGTATTTTTTTTTATATGTACATAAAGTGTTACATAAATAAATAAATAAATAAAAATACTTGAACAATTAACCAAAATCTATTACTAAGTATCTACTCTTTTATAAGTAATGTTTACCTGAGGGTACACGATGTTGTAGTGCGGGTATGAATGCGGGTACTGTACGCAGTGCAGCGGGTACAGCTCGGGTACGACCAGTTTAGGGGGGACTGGAGCCACCCCGCCGCCCACTCCAGGGGGGACCTGCCACGGGACTTGCTCCTGGTATTGCTGGAGGAAAGAATATAATAATAATAATTATTATTATTCTGCGATGTTTCATTATATTAATTTCTATGATAGAATTTATTTGTTCCAGTTTTTTTCGACGATAAGAATTTAATAATGTGTTAACGCTGTGGCTGTGTTGGTTCGATTCCGGTACGAAACAACTCTTTGTGTGAATCAACCTTTTTTGGGAACGGAACAACTCAACCTGTCTTTTGGCTTTAAACGATGTTTTAAGAGATGAATATAGTGTATGGACTGACCGGGTACGGCTGTAGATGGGGCTGCGACAGTATGACGTTGCCGAGCGGGTAGTGCGCCGCCAGCGCCGGGGGCGGAGCCTCCATCTGGCCGTACGGCACGCTGTAACTGGACAAACACAAACTGGTACAACTATATGTAACTTTTCGTTGTAATGTTATAACTCAACAATGCCTTTACTGATTTGTCTAATTTTGGTCTTGAATTATTCGTGGAAGTCTAGAGAAGGTTTGAAAGGTCAGAAAACTTAAGTTAATTTTTAGGCGGAACGAAGTTTGCCAAGTCAGCTAGTACAATGTGAAGTAATTACTTAATGAAGTAATCACTTATTAACACATGGTGTTATTTTGAACGAGGGACATATTCAAGGACCCAGTTTTGGTGCTCAAATAAGAAAACTTTCTCCATAAGACCAATTTTTTATTATTTTATTCAACTCTATGCACTAAGTACAGGGTTGCGCTTAATGCCTACAGGCATTCTCGCTAGCCAAAATGTAAATCTCGAAAATGTTACTTCTCAATACAAAATGATCAATCACCTGTTGCCTATGTGTGGGGATATATATGTATATTTAAATTTACTTAATACCGTTAATACATGTTCTTAAATGACTTAGACTTTAAGGTTATTTTCAATAAATATCAGTACATACCTCCGTTGCATGGCTGATGTATCGACGCAGGCGCCGCAACCGGCCGTGTAGTCTACTGCCGCGTACGGGTAGCTCGGGTCTGTCGTGCCCAACATAACATATCAATAAAAATTAAAACAGTAAAAAAGGAAGAAGTGAATGTATTACTATATTACTTCAATTTTCTTATGGATTACCTGATGGTAAGCAATTCGCGCCGCCCATAGATACTCGTAATACGAGAAAAGTTACTACGAGTGTACTAGCCTTGTGTGAGGTATTACGAATTTAATTAAAGGATATTTGGGGGTTGGGGATTGGGGATTGTGGGGAAGGATTGGGCTTTTGGTAACTACATATACGGTGAAACCGAACGTAGTGTCGTTTTCGCCAGTTTACTGTGAGGCCGTTGTATAATTCCGCCAAACACTAAACGGGTTACGAGTGCGACATTCTAAATTAATTATTATGTAGCAGCGCGACAGTCGCCGCGTCGTGTGTCGCGGAATGCTGCTAATGAATATAGGCCTCTAGCATGGCTTGAAACTAGTCGAGTATCTCGTCAAATGATTAAGTGAGTAAGCCGAAAACATAATAATTAGGTTACGAGTGCGCTGACAGCCATTTACGAATAAGGATTTCTGAGATTTAAACGCATTTTTTGCGGAGTAAATATCATTAAATTGCTTTTCAGGCCCAGGGTGAGGCGAGAGGGAGTGTCAGACTCTTACTGACTAAAAATAAACCCAGTTCTTTCTTCTACTTCAAGCTGAAGCTGTAGTATATTATTGCGCTCATATCCACAATCCCGGCTGAACATCAGCTCTCATCATCATCGTTATCATCATCATCATAAAATAACTGTGGTGGTCTTTTTTTTTTGGGAAAAGCTCTCCGCACCATCCCAAAACCGCTGCAACTCCTGCAAGCCAGGATCTACAGTAGATACAACCATGAAAACACCGGAACAATGAAGTCAGGCGCGTCCCAGGGACATGAATGACTGTCTTGGATCCCGCAACGAAATAAATTAGAAGATATTATTTGAGGAGAAAAAAAAAACATAATAGTTTCCACTTCCCTCGATAAATTTAAAGCAGGAGACAGAATGACTTTGGCCTTACAGACACAGAAGAGACTGTACAACTGGGAGAAACCCAGTCACCAAACATCTATGTGTGAGCTGCTATAGTTGTGGTGATCTATTCGCTCTGCTTGGAGTAGGGAAAGGATTCGGCTTCCAGTAATATGACTCAGACGGCGAAACAAAACGCTGTGGTTGTTTTACGCCGGTTTTCTGTGAGACCCTGGTATCATTTGAGTTAGTAGGAACTCACCGATTCTGAATGCAGTTTCGTTGGGATGGGGGGAAGGCGCGAGTTTCTGTTCCTCTGTCGGTACCTGGACTTGCGGGTACATCTGCAGAGGCGGTTCCTGGGGACAATACATGTATTAATAAAACCTATACTAACATAACAAAGCTAAAGAGTTGTTTTTAAGATAGTTCGGCTGACGATCGTAAGGATTATCTGATGGTAAGCAATCGGCGCTTCGAATGGACACCATCTACACCGGAGCATTTGCGAGTGCGTTGACGGTCTTTTGGGGAAGCTTCGGAGATTTAAGGATTGCGGGAGAAGAAGGATTGGACTTCCGATGACCTCACTCACAACGCTGTGGTGGTTTTGCTCTGGTAACTGGAGACTGCCCCATCCCTCCCCGATCCTTAGTCCTTAAATATCCGAAACCCTAATCCCCAAAAGGTCGAAAACGCACTCGTAACTCCTCCGTTGTTGCCATGGGCGGCACCGATTGCTTACCATCAGGTAATCCGTCTGCTTTTGTCATAAAAAAAAGTCTCAATACTCACCACTCTGCAAGAGTAAGGGTAGGGCTGTGGCATCGGAGCTTGGTACACCATATTGTTCATATTTGTCAGCGGCATTGGTCCTGTTGAATTTACATTCAATATACAGGGTGCAAAAGACACTTAACGAAGCCGTTAACTACGCATACTGCAGTTCTAACTAAGTAGCTTTACGCTAAAATTTTTTTACGTTTCAAAAGTACCTATTGATGGTTTAATTGGAATAAATGATTTTGACTTTGACTTTGACTTTGAATTATCACTGGGAAACGACTTTTATTTTTAGGTATCAAAAATAATAATAATTTTATTGCGCGCAAGGTAAAGCAAACGGGCTTCGTGTCTTTGTGTGCGTAGGTTCACAGCTTAGCATTAAAACGCTGTGATAAGTACGTAGGTCGACGTTTTACTTCGCAACAACAAAACAATTCTGTAAAATAAAAATCCTACTGAGATGCACGATGTTTTATGTGCGGGTCTGCATTTATTTATTACGTACATTACTGTTCGTAACTTCAAATGCGTAATTTATTTAGAAAAATCGAAAATTCAGATAATGTTTGTTTGGAAAAAAGTTTTGTAATAATACTTAAAATTCGATTGCGCAAAAAAAAAAAATTAAAAATGCATCTTTGACCTTCAATATCTCGAGAACCTGTGGAGTCCCTGAGTTACTTTCTCATTTATATTATCACTCCATAGTATAAAACAAAGTCGCTTTTTCTGTCCCTATATCCCTATGTATGCTTCAATCTTTAAAACTACGCAACGGATTTTGATGCGGTTATTTTATAGATTGAGTGATTGAAGAGGAAGGTTTATAAGTATAATAATACCATTAAATAGTTGACAAATTTAGTATTCGCATTGAACCCGTGCGAAGTCTATAGAATATTACCATTACTAGTGTCTCCCAGGGGCTAAAAAATCATGAAAAAAAATGCTATGTGTTTTTTACATGACTTTTTAGCCCCATTCCAGAGATTCGTTCAGTAGTTTTTATATAAAAGAGTAACAAAATCCGTACTTTCAAACTTTTATCATCATCATCAGCCTATAAGTGCCCACTGCTGAGCAAAAGCCTCTCCTCACACGGAGAAGGTTTGAGCATTAATCACCACGCTTGCTCAATGCGGGTTGGCGATTTCAAACTTATAATTAGAAATTACAAGTCCAGGTTTCCTCACGATGTTTACCTTCACCGTATGTCAGTGATGTCTAAATAATCATAGAAAGTACATATAACTCGGAAAAAGTCACATTGGTACTTGCCAGGTTTCGAACCCACACCCTCATGCATGAGAAGCAGGCTACTTAACCTCCGAGCCACCACGACTTTCTTTTTTCCTTTTCTCTTTCTTTCAAAACTTCCAAACTTTCGCGTTTATAATATTATAAGTACCCACTGCTGAGCAAAGGCCTCTTCTCACACGGAGAAGGTTTGAACATTAACGACCACGCTTACTCCATGCGGATCGACGATTTCAAACCCGGCAAACGTGTTTTGCCATATAAATTTATTTCGAAAACAAACGTTAAGGGTAAAAAGAACCTTATAACTTAGGGGTATGAAATTTATCCAGTAGCCGATTCTCTGATCTACTGAATATGCATATACAATTTGGTAAAAGTCAGTAAAGCCGTTTCGGAGGAGTAAGGTAACTGACATTGTGACACGAGAAATTTATATTAGAAGTAGAAGTCCAGGTTTCCTCACGAAGGTTTCCCTCACCGTATGTCAGTGGTGTCTAAATAATCATAGAAAGTACATATAACTGGGAAAAGTCACATTGGTACTTTGCGATTATGGTTATTCGACTTGGCAGAAAAATAAATTATTTGGACATTTTCGTTATACTTTTAATTTTTTTCTTTGAAAATCGTTTCCGTACACTATGATTTTCTCCTGTGTCGTGGGTGCGGTTACAAACATACAATTTCACACACACATCACACTCAAACCCGGAACAACAATTTGTGGATCACACAAAGAGTTGTTTCGTGCGGGAATCGAAACCGCGACACGTTGCATAGAAGTCAGTTGCCCAGCCACCGTACAAACCGTGCAGTCATATTTATTTAAGTAATAATAATTATAATTAACTCACGCATATTAGGGTCATGTAGAGGCATCGGTTGCATTTTCTGTTGCGTCATCACTTGCATGTTGACGTCGTGAGCGACGTAGTGGTTGGTCATCTGCTGCGGGGATGTTAGCTGGGGATTAATTAAAATGGGGATTAATAACTGTATTACTATTATTAACGTTATAAACGCAATATTTAAACGTTATAAATACCAGATACTAATTTTGTCACAATTGGGTAGTTTCCTAAGTCAAAAATAAATTAATTAGACGTTTCAAATACAATAAAATATTGAAAACTAACTAGGTAAGGTAATATTCATCGATCGATCGATACACCAAGTTTAAGATTTTTTTTAGCTAATTATTAGGAATAAAGTAAGCTATTTAACGCAAAAATGTTATGACGTCATAACTCAGTATTACATACAAATTTCAAAGAAAAGTATCGTTTTTGACGTTTGGATAAAAGCATTGAATTCGACTAGTTGGAAACTACCGTCTTCACAATTCAAAGTACGAAATTTTACTTTTTGAAATGATATATTTAATTCCTGTTTTCATCATCATCATCATCAGCCTATAAGTGCCAAAGGCCTCTTCTCACAAGGAGAAAAGGTTTGACCATTAATCGCTACGCTTGCTCAAGGCGGATTGGTAATTTCAAACTTATAATTAGAGTTTATAAGTCCAGGTTTCCTCACGATGTTTACCTTCACCGTATGTCAGTGGTGTCTAAATAATCATAGAAAGTACATATAACTTGGAAAAAGTCACATTGGTACTTAATATAATAAAATGATTAATATTTTTACCTCCTCAGTTCTATATCCTTGATACTGTGGATATTGCATATCTTGTCCCTCATTGGTCAGTTTAACAGGTCGGTTATTCAACACATTGCTATGAGCGTTGTGATTGGCTGGTTCAAACGTTCTCGGCGGTTCGTAAGCTTTATGATTGGTCGGTTCGTATGCTGGCTGCTGATTGGCTGGCTCGTACGGTCCTGGTTGCTGATTGGTCGTTTCGTGTTGTATTTCTTGCGTTTTTGTGCTTGTTTGTGTGTTTGATTCATTAGGAGTTGTTGGTTTTGGGATCTGTTCCTGGTTGGGGGGAAAAAAAGAAAATTATAGTACCTAAGAACAATAAATTATATTTTTATTATTTTGTGTGTAAAGTAACGATGGAGTTTCTTGCTGGTTATTTTCCATTCGAATCTACAATTTGAAATAAGAACTTTATTGACGAACAGACTGACTATTTGAAAAGTGCATGTTTATAGTTTAGTTGGAATAAATGATTTTAACTTCGAATCATGTTTTGGAACCAACATGGGTAACTAAAATTGTTAGATCCTATTCTGAAATTTAGTACTTATTTTGAATTTGAAAAAAACTATTTCATCATCATCAGCCGGAAGACGTCCACTGCTGGACAAAGGCCTCCCCCTTGGCTCTCCACGTCGAACGACAAGTTGCCACCTGCATCTGTTGGCTCCCCGCGACTCTGACGATGTCGTCGGTCCACCTAACGGGAGGCCTGCCCACGCTACGTTTTCCGGTCCTTGGTCGCCACTCTAGGACTTTTCGGAAAAAAAACTATTTATGATGGTAAAAATCTAATCAGACTTTTAATTGCATATTCAATCGGATTTGTTATACACTACTTTTTACAAGAATCAAAATGGATGACGTTAATCATCACACTATTCTTCCTATATGAATTGAACCATATTGTTAACATTATTAAAATTCAAAGTCGAAATCATTAATTTCAACTAAACCATAAGTAGGTACTTTTGAAATGTCAAAATAGTATAACAGTCTGTCAGTCTGTTCGTCAGTGGAGCTAGGTGCTCTTTCTCACTCTCCCTCCCTCACTCCCCTACCCAGTATTTCTCTTACTCACTCTCTTTCTCTCCCCTTACTCTCTTTCTCTCCTCCCACACCCTTTCTTTCCTCCCACTCTCTCCGCGCTCTACCCCTCTACTTTCTCTACCTTCCATCACGTTTACCCCCCTCCATCTCTCTCCTTCTCCCCCCCCCCTCTCTCTCTCATTTCGGGTATGGGACCCCCCTTACCTTGTCACCAGCAGTCCCAGCCGTAGCGTCATGCCTGCGACACTCGCAACAGCATTTGCTTCGATACTCATCGCTCGGCTGACAGTCGCAATCTGAGGATAATTAACTTTAGTTGCCTGAGTATAAGGTTGATTTTAAAACGGATATAGTAAGTAAAGTAATAAAATTAGCAGATTTTTATTTATGTAAGTAAAAAAATCATTTTTACATGTGCTTCGGCACGAATGGGTCGTCTCGACCGGAGTAATACCACGGCCTCACAGAAAACTCACGACACAACCACAGCGTTGTGTTTCGCTTTGTGAGTGAGGTTACCGGAGGCCGAATCCTTTCTCTCCTCCATCCCTCTGAAATCCCTAAATATTTGGAAACCTCATCTTCAAAAGGCCAGCAAAGCACTCGTATCTCCTATGATGTTGCGGGTATTCATGGGCGGCGCTGATTGCTTACCATCATACAATAAAAAAAAAATACCATAAAATAGTTGAATGATATTGTGACATCATATACGGCAGGCAGGCTTCTTTTTATTATTACAATCAACTCACCGTTATCAATAAATGAATGTTGTTTCTCCAATCTGCCGCGACGTTTCTCGTTGTTCGAATCCAACTGTAACAAAAAAATATATACATGTATATTTAATTTTTGACATAACCCGACTAGTTTCGAGCCACAGTAGGGGCTCATATTGATGAGCTGCGTTACACGACACACGCGGCGAATCATCGTCGATACTTGTTTGTGTGACCACGCTTATCTCCGAAACTACTGATTCGAATTGAATAATTATTTTTATGTTGGATAGTCCATTTATCGAGGAAGACTATAGGATATAAAACACCGCGTTACGACTACAAGGAGCCGAGCAGCGGGTGAAACCGCGTGGGTGTAACTAGTCTAAAATATGATTGTGTAATACTTGATATACTTATTAACTTTTTACAATATAATAGTCACAAGATTACAAAAGGTTGCACACTAAGATAGAACACAGAACTACGCGGGAAGAGTCATCGAAGGGAAGTGACGCGTGCGCGGTCTGCTTCGGAGCGGTCCCGGAATGTTGATTGGACGGCGACGCGGCGACTCACGCAGGCGCGTGTCGCCATGGGTTCGGACGGCCAAGCGCCAATACCGCGGGAGTGGAAACCTACCTACCGCTGGTCCTCACGTTACAATTGTTAATTGATTTATTTATTTTATGGAATAGGAGGCAAACGAGCAGACACCTGCAACACCAGAGGAGTCACAGGCACGTACCGGCCCTTTAAGAAGGAGTACGCTCGTTTCTTTCAGATTTGAAGGTCGTATTCGTTGGGAAATACGCGAGCCGGAAGATTTTTTTTTATATTTATATCACAACTTACTTTCTGCTGATCGTCCTGTTCGATACCCGGGTCGTACAGCACGGGCGGGTTTGCCGGATCAAACTGGTATATAGATCCATCCGGGTTGGTGAGCGGACGTCCCGTCTGAAATATAAATTATCATTAGATATTTGCTTTTCTACCTCTGCGTCATGAAGGCTTTTATCGACTGAAAATCAATCCGTTCTTTCTCTCGACACGAGTCGGGGCCGAGGTATACGCCTAGTCTACGATTGACGACTTGACAAATAAAGACAATACGGTAGTTTCCAACTAGTCAAATTCAATACTTTTATCCGAACGTCAAAAACGATTCTTATCTATGAACTTTTTTGCGTCAAATAGCACACTTATTTTTTAATAATTAGCTCAAAAAAACTTAGTTGATCGATCGATTAATGAATAAAAGTATAGTTATTTTTCATTTTATTGTATTGAAATAACGAATCAATTAATTATTGACTTAAGAAACTACCCAATTATCCAAATTGTGTTTTCCACTTTTACGAAGTTACTTTAGTGACTTAGGTCGCGTGGAATAAAGACTTTCTGCATATTTTTGGTAAAAAAAACTATCCTATGTCCTTTCTCGAGTTCCAAACTACGTCTGTACCAAACTTCACATAAATCGGTTCAGTAGTTTAGGCGTGAAGAAAGGACAGGCAGATAGACTTCGTGCTCGTCGGCACCGTCTACTAGCCGTGCCTGCATGCCGTACCGTAGCCCGTGCATCATCCCCTATTCCCAGAGCGCTGTCCGCCCTTAATAGTCTCGTGGAGGCCTATCCCGACTGCGATGTATTTATAGATAAGTTTAATATTATTAGAGGTATATGTTTGAGTTTTTGTGAAAGTCTGAATGATTAGTTCCTATTTGTTTTTGTTTGTTTAATCGTTTGTTTTAAGTTCATCTTTTTATATTTCGTTTTTTCTTTTCCTTTATTATATCCGTGTTAACATAAATAAATAAATAAATAAATAGACAGACAGAGTTACTTTCGTATTTATAATGTAAGTATAGATAAAGATGAATGAATACTGTACCTGTGGGTGTATGACCATGGCCCCGGTGGGCACGGCGGACATGTCGGTGACACACCAGACCACGGCGCCCTCCGCCCCGCCGCCGCCGCCGGAGGAGGGCGCAGCCCCCACGCCCGGCTCTGGACTCGCGCCTCCTACAGGACAAACATACAATTTCATTACAATTCGAAAAAAAATGTTGCCCCACACTAGGATTTTCTCCTGTGTCGTGGGTGCGTTAACAAACATACAAATACACATACACATCACACCCGGACCCGGAACAACAATTTGTGGATCACACGAATTGTTGTTCCGTGCGGGTATCGAACCCGCGACACGTTGCGCGGCAACCAGTTGCCCAGCCATCCGCAGTAATAGCCATGATATTTTGCCATTTATCTTTGACGATGTATTTTGAAAAAAATTATCTATTTGACAATAATTCATTATTATTAATATACTGACCAGTAGGAGACGGTGTGACTGAGTCAGTGCTGCGCAGACTGAGAGTCTTGTACCCAGAACTGGATGGAGACAGTCGCCAACTGCTGGATGCTAGGTCACCTGGAATGAGATGCTTTGTAAGTGTGGGAGACCCAAGCTTCGACTAGACCGGAGTGATACCACGGCCTCACAGAAAACCGGCGTGAAACAACCACAGCGTTGTGTTTCGCCGTGTAAGTGAGGTTACCAGAGGCCCAATCCTCCCCTCCATCTTTCCCCAATCCCTTAATCACCGAAACCTCAGTTCCCTAGAGGTCGGTAACGCACTCGTAACTCCTCTGTGTTGCGGGTGTCCATGGGCGGCGCCGATTGCTTACCATCAGGTAATTCGTCTGTCATTGTTTCTGGGGCTTTAAGTATATATGACTAGCTTCCACCCGCGGCTTAAACAGCGTGGTATGTTGATAAGAAGTAGTCAAAATCAAAATCAAAAATCAAAATCAAAATCTTTTTATTCGTCAATGTAGGTGTACAGTACAAAAGGTGTTAGAGTTACAGGAAGTTCGCTACATTGTGCCGGTGGGCATACGAAAATTATATTAAACGAGAATTACTTATATTCTATTGACATACTTTGTTATTAATTTCAATTAACCTATTATTATGTATATAATACTATCACATCACATATATCATCACATATATAATACTATTTAATTCCATCACTTATATCTATTAATTGCTTCCTTTATATAATGTCTTTTTTTAATTTATATTAATTATTTGGCTTTCTTACACTATTATGTTTATATATAATACTGTTAATCTCTATTGTAATTATACTTATTTCTTCTATTATACATATTTATACAGTCTTTTTCGAAAATTATATTAATATAAGTAATGCGGTTATATTTTTTTTAATCCTAATTAAATTTATTACTTTTAATCATTCTAAAAATTCTCTTATTGAGTAGCAGCATTTCTTTATTAACAGTTCTTTCAGCTTTTTCTTAAAGAGATTTGTATTTAATTTTTTTAAGTCATGAGGTATATTATTATATATTTTTGGAGCCATTTCATAAACGCTTTTCCGTAGAAGGGCAGTGTTGCTATGCTCAATTCTTAGAATATTAGACTCTCTTTTCCTCAACCTTGGATCTGCTGGGGGTTTTATCGTAAATAATTGTAAGTTACTTTTTACAAACACCGCCACCTCATAGATATAAAGAGATGGAAATGTAAGAATATTTAATGACTGAAAGAACGGTTTACAACTATCTCTGGGGTGCAAGTTACATATTGCACGAATGCACCTCTTTTGTGCTATAAATACTTGTTCTTTATCTGTTGAATTGCCCCAGAAGATGAGACCATATCGCATAATAGATTCTACATAACTGTGATAGGCTACAAGTACCGCATCACGATTCACAAATTTTGATAATTTATACAGTGCGTAAGAAAAGCTGTTTACTCTACTGCAAATGACTTCTACCTGTGTTTTCCATGTAAGTTTAGAATCTATCAATAAGCCTAGAAATTTTGTGTCTGCTTTTTCTGAAACAGATATTCCATTATAATTTACATGTATATGATTTTCCCTAAGTCTTTGTTCAAAATGCATAATGTGAGTTTTTTCCAAGTTAATTAGCAGATTATTACAGTTAAGCCATTCTATTGTTTGTCTTAATGTATTATTTACTTCTTCCTCATAGTTGTAAGAATTATCTGATTTAACAATAATTGTGCTGTCATCAGCGAACAATACTGTTGGATGTTTTGTGTTTTTGGGGAGATCATTAATATAGAGTAGAAATAATAAGGGACCTAAAACACTCCCTTGAGGTACTCCATATTTTACCGGCCTTGAATTGGATTTATATTTAATTTCTCTTTTGTTTATAGCATCGATATTTGTTATATCTGTGAACTGTGTTCGTTTACTTAAATATGATATTAGTAGGTTAAGGATATTGCCGCGTATGCCATATCTCTCTAATTTGTTTATAAGAATATTGTGATCTACATAATCAAAAGCCTTTGTCATGTCCATGTAAAGGGCGCAAATAGATATTCTTTTATCTACGTTATTCATTACAAAACGTAGGAAATGGAAAATAGCTAAATTAATAGATTTCTTCTTTCGAAAGCCTTTTTGTTCGTCGACTAAAATATTTTTAATTTCTAGATAACTGTATAACCGGGAGTAAATTACTTTTTCGATTACTTTTGAAAATATAGGTATCAACGCTACCGGTCTGTAATTTTTCATTAATGTTTTGTCTCCTTTTTTAAACAACGGTTTAATAATAGACATTTTTAGCAAATCTGGAAAAACTCCTTGTTCAAAGCACAAATTTATAATATGTGATAGTGGAAAACAAATAAAGTTATGTACTTTTTTAATTATATCTGTTGTTAAATTATCATAACCAGTACTTCTAGTATTTTTTAAAGATCTTATAGTATCAGAGATTTCCTTCGGCGTACATGGATTTAAAAACATCGAGTCTTTTAACCTATCAATCTGTGATGCATTATTATTAATATGACATGGGGCAATCTGGTCAATAAAAAAGTCGTTAAATGCATTACAAATATCTTCAGTTTTTGTTATTTCTCTACCAAGATGCATAATTTTTGAAATAGGTTCTCTAGGGAGTTCGTCTTTGTTATTATTTATTACTTTCCAGGTTGCCTTGCTTTTGTTGCTGGACGTTTTGATGAAATGGTTATTTTGCGCGTATTTAGTAAGTTGTATAATCTTTTTATATCGTTTTGAATAGGAGATATACCGGTGTTTATTGTTTTCGGTTTTAGTATTCCGGTATGTCCATAATAAGTTACGTTTGATTTTACTGCAATTTTTTATGCCTCTAGATAGCCATTTTTGTTTTTTGTTTATTGTTCTTTTTACATCTTTTTTTGGGAAACATAAATTATAAAATAATTTGAATGTATCCAGGAAACACTCATAAGCAATATTTGGGTCTTTTATTTCGTATACCTCACTGAAACTCAAGCTACTAATACATTTTACAAATTTTTCTACTAAATCTGGAGAATAATCGACTATTTTTGTTTTCCACGAATGTATAACACAAGACTTTCTAACACTACATTTTAAAATTTGTGCAGTATGATCTGAAAGTGCTGTTTCTATTATTTCCCCATTATTACCGCGATCATTATGAAATATATTGTCTATGCAGGTGCCGCTAGATAAACGGGTAGGTTCATTAGCTAAAGTTTTAAGATTATATCCTTTGACTAAGTTTACAAGTGTTTTAGTATTTATGTCTTGTTTTAGTAAATTTATGTTAAAGTCACCACAAAGAATGATTTTTTTACTGGATCTACCGCGTGTTATTTGATGTAGTAAATATTCTAATTTTTCAAAAAACAATTGAAAATGTATTTTTGTATTAGTACTCTTTGGCACCCTATACACGCAAATTATCATGATGTTATGTTTTTTAAGTTGAATTCCGCAACACTCAAAAATATTTGGCACAGAGATTTTTTTTACCTGTGGCGTCACTTCAAACTCGTGAAAGTTTCTGACCAATATGCAAGAACCTCCTTTTCTATTATTTCTATAATAACTGTCAGCTAATGTATAGTTAGGAATCGTTAATATTTTACTATCACTTATTACCATATTATGTTCAGTTATACACAGGACATCTATCATCTTGTTTAACCTAGACCGTTCTTCCAACAGTACAGTTAACATATCTGCTTTATTAATTAAACCCGATATATTTTGGTGCATTACATAAATTGAGTTATAGACGAAAAAAGTTTTGATTTATTTCCCGATCAGACTGCTTTAAAGGTGTACTTTGAGCTACATTTGTCATTTTTTGTTTACGCGAATATGAAAAGTAATCTGTAATGGTTCTTTGTAGCAAAGTCACTTTACGACTTTTAACTATAGTATCTTGTGTAATATAAGTATTTGTTTGGCGCTTAATTATATTTTTCTGAGGAATAAATTTTTTACTATAATCAATTGTATCAATGATTAAGTTTATTTTGCTACAAATTAATTTTATATACGCATATCTATTATAAACATTCTTATGGTTAATAAATTCACAATTATCAAATTTTTTTGAGATACACTTAATCATGTTATTTAGTTTATTTTCATTTAAATATCTATTTTTACCTGTTTTCAACAAAATCACCGACGCTTTAATATTTTTTAAAATACAGTAAAGTTCATGCGACAATTTCTGCGGGTCTTTATCTTCTTCCCCCACACATAGCACTAATTTATCTTGCTCATTTAACTGAAGAGAGTTACAGATATTGGATATAAAACCAATAGTCGTATCAGGATAAATCAGGCCTTGTACGATATATTTCTCGTAGCATGAGTTACTTCTGGAGTGTATTAGTTCCGATGCTATTCCTCGGCACTGGTTTCCACCAACAATTACTATCCTTCTTGATTGCATTCTATTTAAGTTTTTTGTATCATTTGTTTCATCCTTTCTACAGACTTCCTCATCACAATCTTCATTCAGATTTTCCGCCGATGTATTATGACCAGAGTGCAATATATGAGCGTCCTTTATAGTTACGTCATTTTCTTGAATAATTTTTTTTAACGCGTTGTATTTATTGTTGATATTTTTGATATCCTTCTCAGCAATAATTAATTTTTCCTGTAAGGTAGTTACTAATGCTTGTAATTCTTCTATTTGTTGGGTTTTAGTTAATCTCAGGTTTGGACAACTTGTATTGTGCATGCTGCTAGTTGATACAAAAGACGTGCACTCGTCATCCTCCTCCTGACTAGCCATCAGCAGTGATTCAAAAGAATTTCTAGTATCTACGTTAACTTTGTGCTTTCTAACAGTTATGTTGTCACAGTGATCTCGGGACCGTATAGATGAACTTGATTGGTTTGCAAGTGTCGAGCATTGCGAGCACTTCCATGTTTTTCTCTTTGTAGGTGTTATTAAAGAAAGTAAATTTTATACAGCTTACATGAAAATAATATTCACAACTATAGCATTTGAGATACTCTTCTTTATACAGCTTACATGAAAATAATATTCACAACTATAGCATTTGAGATACTCTTCTTTTTCTATAGTAATCTTACATTTATTGCAATCTTTTTCCATAATCGATGCAGTGTTGTTGTCAGAACGCTATTGCGCGCTGACACGGTACGACACAAATCCCGATACTTTCCAGTAAGTAAACACAGTGCACTACCGTGCCTAGTAGGCGGAGCTTGATGGTGCGGCGATGTTACGTATGACACAGTGAGGCACAGAACGCGACTCTTTCCAACAAGTAGTCACAGTGTTCAATTGTGTTAGCCGTTATTTAAAAATTTTTGTTTTTATTATGTCAGTCACTCCAAAACCAATTGAATTTTTTTATTTCTGTTTTCACTACTTTATAGTTCGTTAGTTAATGAATAAGATGATATATAATACAATTCAGTTTATAAGGTTTTTACCAATTTTATGATTTAAATCACTGCACTCGTTTTAAAACACGTCTAACCTTAGTCCATGTCCTATTCCGAAGTATATCCTATGCCTGTGCCAAATTTAACCCAGATCCATTCAGCCGCTTTGGAGTGATTGAGTAACAAATATACAAATATCGTAATTTTCCCATTTATAATATTAGTAAACAAGAAAGAAAGAAGAAAGAAAAACATTGATTCTTGCGCAGGCGCACACACAGAAAACTAAAATACAAAAAAAGAAGAAAATAAATATACTAAAAATCTAAACTAAATGATACAAATTAATGAAATAACTGAAAAATAAATTAATAACAAAAACAAAAAAAAAAAAAAAACAAAACTCTTATCTATGATCCACAGAGTATAACATTATGCGCAAGGTCGCTTGTATTTTTCATTATCTGTGGACCATAAGGACAAGGAAGCAACATTTATGTTTAATGAGATAGTTGGCTAATAATAATTTAATAAGAAATGTTAGTCTTATAATATCTTGATTTGACTCACGTGGTGAAACACAACGCTCTGGGAGTGGGGCTTACCGGAGGCCCAATCCTTTTCCCAACCTTTATCCCCATATCTCCTCTCTAATAACGAAGATTGCTTACCATCAGGTAATCCGTCTGTCATCGTCTCTGGGGCTATAGATATAATATGTGGCTTATATCTTCTCACCTTGCCTGCTGAGTACCCTGGGCGCGGCGGGGTCAGCCTGCGTGTACCCGCCGAAGCTGTGGGACTTGGACACCGCGCCCCGGCCGCCGCGCCACGACCCGCTCGGGGGACCGCTGCCTTCTAGAGACTGGACCTGCAGACACGACAAAATTAAGTATTATATGGTCAACTTATTACCAAGAGTTATTATTTTTTTATAAATTACATCGATTTATATTTATATATTAATCGTATCGTAAATTAGCTCATATTCTTTATATGTGGGAGAGCCAAGCTTCGGCACGAATGGGTCGGCTCGACCGGAGTGATACCACGGCCTCACAGAATACCGGCGTGAAACAACCCACAGCTTTGTGTTGCACCGTGTGAGTGAGGTTACCGGAGGCCCTATCCCTCCCACTCCCCTATCCCTTCCCGATCCTTATATCTCCAACCCCTATCCCCAAAAGGCCCGCAACGCACTCGTAACTCCTTTGGTGTTGCGGGTGTCCATGGGCGGCGCTGATTGCATACCATCAGGTGATCCGTCTGCTCGTTTGCCAACTTATACCATAAAAAAAGTATTTAACTATCAAATTACTTCTTCCGTCTTTGAGGAGAATTTGTAATAATGTACTTTTTGGATATTTTAAGACCATGAAATATGTTCTCCCACCCATGATGGGACGACAGGGAGAGTCAGTTCAGTCACCCTCGTTCCTGCTCTAGGCCGAGGCCTCATATTGCCATATTGCGATTTTGAGCCGTGCGGAACGCTACGCGCGGTACCTACATTCAAGACTGGTTTGTAGACTTATTTTATTAGACCCGCGCTTACGGTGGCCTAAAACCATCTCTCGGCAACGGCTGGGGCGTGAGGAGGTTCCTTTGCGATAAATAAGGTTAGGAAACTTCCCTGGATTAAGAATAGCTGCATACCTTTAAGAGTTTCACCGCGACCTCGGCACAGAGCAGGAGAAGGAACAGGGGGTTTTACTCCCTCCCGCCTGACCCTGGGCGGGAGAAGTCATTTGATGATTTTCCCCTCACAAAAAAAAAATACCTTTAAGAGTTTGTTCCTGCCTTCAGCTGTAAGCAGCTTGATCGGTCCCGACGTCAGCCACGGCCATTGCGCCTCATCTTGCTGTAATCATAATTAATTAGTTTCTTTAGTAAAAATTAATTATTTCAACTTTATTAATTTTACGATATAATAACAATCAAATGTTTAATAAAAAACAAAACTTACTCAAAATAGGGAATTTCAAAATTTAATCTTAATATTGTTTTTTTTTTGTAATTAGACCTCTTTTTTATAAATCATTTAAACACTTTCATTGCCCACAAAGTAAAGAAGAAGTAGGAATGTGAAAGAAGAAGAGCAAGCGTTGTGATGAATGCGCAAACCTTCTCCGTGTGAGAAGATACCTTTGCTCAGCAGTGGGCACTTATAGACTGATAAGAATAAGAATAAGAATGTTTTATTAGCTTTTTTTATTTGCAATGTTTTTGCATCTTGATGATGATAATGCTGTGTTGTTTATAACTATGAACCCCGTCATGGCTTGAGACCAGTCGAGCTGTCTCGAATAGTTACGTAAGTAAGTTGTTAATTTTAATATTATGTGATTGATTGAAACACAGATTGCAGTTACAATGTGAGAAGGTCTTGGGTTAAAATTGATATTTTTATTGTAGTTTTGTTTTTCTTAACGACTTCCTCCTTGTTATATTCAGCAAGAAGCCTCGGGTTTGAGGCCCGTGTTAAGAGGAAATAATTAGTGATGTAGTGTAATGTTCATAATATTAAAAAAAAAACTCACCGAGCTAAATATCCTCCGTCGCACTCTCTCGTACTCCTTCTCCCTCTGTTCCAAGGACTTGCTCCGGTAGCTGGCCAGGGTCACTCCCGGCTCCTCCATCGACTGACTGTCTCGTTTCAGGATCGACCTGTCGGAGGTATACCTGTACTTTGTACCTACTTGATAGCCGAGTAAAATATTTTTTGACCAACGCATCTTTTCTCTGAGTTCTCAAGTTTTGACTGCATGGTTGATGCGGTGGCTGGGCATCTCGCTGCCGCGCAACGTGGCGCGGGTACGATTCCCGCACGGAACAACTCTTTGAGTTATCTACACATTTTTATTCTGAGTCTCGGTGTGAGAAATTGTGTGTCCATAACCGCACCAATTCGACGATCACACAGTGTTGTTCCGTGTGGGAATCTAACCTGCGACACGTTGCACGGCAGTCAGTTGCCCAGCTACTAGGCCAACAGTGTAGTCAATTCGGTTGGAGAACCATTTAACTCAATTGCATTATTTATTTTCGTTTTTAGTAAGTGTGAGAGATCCATGCTCCGGCTCGACCGGAGTGATACCACGGCTTCACAGAAAACCGGCGTGAAACAACCACAGCGTCGTATTTCGCCGTGTAAGTGTGGTTGCAGGAGGTCTAATCCTTTACCTCCCCAAAATCATCTCCAATCCAAAAAAGGTCGGCAACGCACTTGTAACTCCTCCGTTGCGGGTGTCCACGGGCGGCGCTGAATGCTTACTATGAGGTAATCCGTTTACTCGTCTGCCTATAATTTAAAAAAAGTACATAAGGGTTATAGTTACTTGGCATGCGGCGCCTCGGGTTGATGCCGTTGTGGGCTCGGCGGGAACTGAACCGTGCACCACTCCTTGAAACTCGTGCACGGGATCCGACCACCCGATGTGCCTAGGGGGAAAATGATCCATATCTAAATTGCTATTTTAAGTAACAGAAACTCAAGCGCAATGAGGTACCGCGGCCTCGGCCCGGGGTAGGAGAAGGAACGGAGGGGGGGGGGGGGGGGGGGTTAGTCAGTAAGAGTCTGACACTCCAATCAAATTACTTCCCTCGCCCCACTAAAAAAAAACGATCATAGAATACATGAAACGATCATAAACACACACAGAAAACCGCCGTGAAACAACCACAGCGTTGTGTAGCGCCGTGTGAGTGAGGTTACCGGAGGCCCAATCCTTCCCCTCCACCAATCCCTCCTCAATCCCTAAATCTCCAAGTCCCTAATCCCTAAAAGGTCGGTAACGCACTCGTAACTCCTCCGTTGCGGGTGTCCATGGGCGGCGCTGATTGCTTACCATCAGGTAATCCGTCTGCTCGTTTGCCGACCTATTACATAAAAAAAAAAATACAATTGTAAGTGAGATTCCCTCCTTCAAGACAGGGAGGGTGCGAAACTCCACTCCCTGTATGAATAAGTCTCCTCTAGCTAAAGTTTACATTAGGTGATAATGAGATTTGCCTTCCAAACGTTTCTCATACCCCAATTCCAAATATTTAAACCGACGGGTAAACTTGTAACTCCTCGATGTTACGTATGTTCATGGGCTGCTTACAGATGCTTACCAATTCAGATAATCCTACTTATAAAAACGGCATAACATACCACTCTTGGAAACCAGTACAGAATTCTTATTGGTCGTATCAAGATGATGCGAGAGCTGGAACAGGGCGGCACAGCGATGCACCAACATGCGGCCGTACGATGTCATCACCGGGAATCGAACTATGCAGCGGCTGTTTACATGAACATGAAGAAGAAAAATATTAAAGGTTGTCTGTAGAGTGAAGCCCGCGCCAAACTTTGTGACCGCCCTGAATACAAGGGCGAATCCACCGTTGTGGGCACGATGGGCATGCCCACAACCTTAATACACTTGTGATTGAAATAGGTTTGGATCGAAACTGACTATAAGAAATTAGAAGAAATCGTGTCCGACTTCTTCCTAAGTTTATTTACATTCCTAAGGCTAAAGTCCTGATGCTCAGAAAAAAGGAAATCTAATTCATAAGTTCATAAACGATTTGCATGATTGTTAATGAGCATGTCCATGCCCCGACTCGTATTTAGCCGTTTTTCTAGTAGCTGTGACCACAACCTTTTTTGAAGGCTGGATCCGCGCTTGCCTGAATATAGTCGCGAGTCCGAACTTGCGCATGGTACAGTCGAGTGGGTAATCAACCAATTATCGTTTTCTAACATTTTTAATACTGGTTGATTACGTATCTAGTCTGTCGTGGTGGCCCAGAGGTTAAGGAGCCCGCTTCTCATACATGAGGGTGTGGGTTCGAAACCTGGCATGTACCAATGTGACTTTTTCCGAGTTATATGCACTTTCTATGATTATTTAGACACCACTGACATACGGTGAAGGTAAACATCGTGAGGAAACCTGGACTTATAATTCTAATTATAAGTTTGAAATCACCAACCCGCATTGAGCAAGCGTGGTGATTAATGCTCTAACCTTCTCGGTGTGAGAAGAGGCCTTTGCTCAGCAGTGGGGACTTATAGGCTGATGATGATGATTACGTATATAATAATATTGGTTGAATACGTATTGGCCACTCGACTGTACCGTGCGCAAGTTCGGACTCGCGACTATATTCAGGGCGGCCACAAAGTTTGGCGAAAGCTGTACTGATATTTTGTATCAAGTCGGTCTTTTGTACGGTCGGTTTTGTTGTTCCGTGCGGGAATCGAACCCGCGACACGTTGCGCGGCAGCCAGTCTCCCAGCCACCGAGTCACCCGTACAGTCAGATTTCAAAACTTCTGGTAGTAACTTAAATTGATCTCAAGTCTTCAACTTTTAGGCAAACTAGTTTTTATTCCGTATGTAAAAGCAATTACAAGGAAAACATCGCCCGAGAACTAATAATAATTACAAAATTAATATTCACCTTTTAATCGCGGTAATTCGAGACACAATATAAGAACAACAAACGTGCGGGCGCCGGCGTTCGCTTGGCGTTATTGACGAATTAATATTTATATTATATTTAACGAATTAAGATTTAAAATATATTGGCTACAAGCCTAAAACATCACTAGCGCCATCTACAAAGTGCAAAAACTTTATTTAAACATAACGCATTACTCAAGAGATTCCTGCTTACCCCGTATCGTTGACAAGAGCGTGTAGTTCCCTCTCGATCTTCAGAAGCGCCATTCTATCCCGCATATTCTTATTGAGAGTGTCTTTAATGAAGGCGACTAATTCTGGACCGGTCGGCTCGTAGCGATCGTCTGAAATCAAATAGGTATATACATTAATTCTCCATTATTTAATAGATGACATCTATATATATCTTTATATATAAAAATTTCGTATCACGTGTTTGTCCGCGATGGACTCCTAAACTACTAAACCGATTTTAAATTTGATTTGCATTCCGTGTGCATTTTGATCCAACTTGAAAGATAGGATAGCTTACATCTCAATTTATAGTCACAATATTATTTCGACAAGAACCTTAGCCACAGCAACGCGTGGCTGGGTCTGCTAGTATATATATATATCAATGCCACTTTTCATTGTAATGCTAACTCAACAATTTACCGATTTGGCTAATTTTGGTCTTGAATTATTCGTGGAAGTTCAGAGGAGGTTTTAAGTAGACAAAATTTTAAAAAAATCTTAAAAATGTGATATTTAGACATCCACGCGGGCTTAGCTGCGGGCTACCGCTAGTTATACATGTAAAACTTCCTCTTCAATCACTCTATCTATTAATAAAAATCGCGTCTAAATCCGTTGAGTAGTTTTAAAGATTTGAGCTTACAAAGGGATATAGGGACAGAGAAAGCGACTTTGTTTTATACTATGTAGCGATAAATAAATATTTTGTTTGAGAGCTAAAATAATTTATTTGATTTTGTATGACGGACGGCTGGAGGATTCAAAAGCCTTACCGGAATCGTTTCTGCTAAGCTGCGCGTTCTTTGGTCTTGGGGGATCCGGTTTTCGTTCAGGGCATCTGTAAATAACACGATTTATATACAGAGACTTTATGACATTCCATTACAGTTTCAAGGCCAAAAACTACTAAAAAAAAGTGTTTCGAGAGCACAAGCACAAAAAGCACAGCGACAATTTTGAGTTTCCATATTTTTTATGTGACACGGCCGCTGTAGTAGTTTCCTAGGTCAAAAATAAATCAATACTACGTTTCAGTACAATAAAATATTGAATAATAATTTTATTCATCTATCGATCGATACAATGAATTTTAGTTTTTTTTAGCAAATTTTTAATATGTATGTAAACTATTTGACGCAAAAATACTATGATGTCATAGCTCAGTATCTCATACTAATTTCATAGAAAAGTATCGTTTTTAACATTTGGATAAAAGTATTGAATTTGACTAGTTGGAAACTACCATATTATCATTATCATAATCATCTTCAGCCGGAAGATGTCGACTGCTGGAGATTAGCTTCCCTCTTAGTTTCCCATGACGGACGGACGGACAACTCGCCAATCGCATTTATTGGCCACCGTATAAAATAAAAAACGGCAGACTACCTGATGGTAAGCAATCAAGGTCGCGGTACATTACTACGCTTGCATCCATAACCCTGGTACATTAAAGGCTTTTTTTTTGTCAGGGGAAAATCATCAAGTGACTTCTCCCGCCCAGGGTAAGAGTAAGAGAGATAGTATCAGACTCTTACTGACTAAAACCCCCCTGTTCCTTCTCCTGCTCTGTGCCGAGGTCGCGGTGCCTCATTCCGCTTACCCCGCAACCCCGGCTGAACATCAGCCCTATAGGGCCCCGTCTGTGGTGGTCCATTGGCTCTATGAGACGCGCTCGGAACGCTACGCGCTGTACGCTCGGGTCTGGTTCTGGTCGGGCGGCGAGCTACCTTTACTCGCCGTCCGCAGACCCGCGCTCTAGGTGGCCGGAGATCATCTCTCGGTACATAAAAGGCTGTGACGACATTATGACAACATACCTGCAATAATGTGGTTCTTCCACGTCAAGACTGCTTGATTTCCTCATGGTATCGTTTTGAGAAGCGCCTGCGCACGAAATTTAATACATTAACTTTTATGCCATGTCCTATTACAATATTGAGTAGTTTCGAAGGTCAAAAATAAATAACTTGGCTTTTAATACGATGTATTATAAAAAATGTAATCATAATTCCATTCACTGATTTGATGATAATACTTTAAAAAAAACAGCCCTAAGTACCTATTACTTAGGGCTGATTTTTCAATGGTTAGATAAAAGTTACCTGCGGAATAATTATGATGCTGTCGCATCAGAATGTTAAGACAGTGACAGCAACAATTTTATTCCTCAGATAACATTTATTTGGCTATTAAAAATCGCCATTAGCTTAAGATTTTTTCTATTTAACTTTTAAAAAATAAGAACGCCGTTTGACGTGAAGACATTATGACGTCATATGTTGCGAGTTCATACAAAAATCATAGAAAGTATCGTTTTGAATTATCAACAAAAGTATTGAATTTGACTAGTTAGAAACTACCGTATCGTATAAGAATAAATTCAGATATTGAGGGTTGTTAAAGAATCGTTGAAGAAAAGAGAGAATAGACTGTGTAACGGTGAATGATTAACCAGGAAAAATAAAATTTAGGTCGTATCAGTAAAAGAGACTGTATTCCCAACAAAAGCAAAGTTACAATAAATTAAAAATCGATGTGGGTAACTTCATGCGAAGACACCCGCACAATAGGCGCCTGATGTAATATTAAAAGCACTCCAACATGATAAGACGTAAGGGATTGTGATTTCTATCAGGCGTTAATGTTGGATTCTGAACAGACTGCACGGGAGACACGGTGGCTGGGCAACCGGCTGCCGTGCAACGTGTCGCGGATCCAATTCCTGCACGGAATCACTCTTTGAATGATCCACAAAATTGTCGTTCTGAGTCTAGGTGTGATGTGTATGTGAATTTATTTTTTTGCCTCACACTAAGATTTTTTCCTGTGTCGTGGGTGCGTTTACAAACATACAATTTCATATACGCATCACACCCAGACCCGGAACAATAATTTGTAGATCACACAAATAGTTGTTCCCAACCACAACACAGGAAAACTTATAGTGAGGCAATGCTTTTTGTAAATAATAAGAATTTGCGCAAATTGGCTATCAAATTTGAGCCTACTGAGATGTACACCAGATTTTATATATGTTATGGCATGTTTTACTGTGCTCATTTTTTTCTTTCTTTTTTTATAGTATAGTTGGCGTGTGGCCTGGAATGTCTTAAGCGTTAAACGCGTTTTTGTTTACCATTTGTATCATTGTCCGAGGAGTCTGGACAGTCGTCCGGGCAGACGATACCGGAGTCCTGTTTCGTCGCGCAGTAGTGACGACGGCGGCGGCCCCTGTAATGAATCGAGTGAATAGGTTACTTATGTGCAGACATGCACATGGTTCACTATTATAATGAGGATAATCTGGCTATCGCTCTTTGAAAACCTTTTTAAACCTTTTTATAATAACGTTCGTGATACATACTAAATTAATTATTATGTTTGCGGCTTACTCACGTCGTAATTCTTTGACGAGATACTACGACAAGTTTCATAATTACGTTGCGCACACCTGCGCAAAACAGACTTGTGTTTGCGCAAACCTACGCAATGAAATACTGTTCTATATTATTTATGCAAAGTTGCGCTAAATTTTGTCAAGTTACATGGTAAATAAAGCAAATAAGTAAGAAGGCAGACTAGAACACATTTTCCTACTACTGACTACAGATCTAATAAAGGCAAGATAAGGTAGTAAGCGCTTTTTGACAAACAATATTTCTTAATTATGTGATTAAATATATGCAAATATTTGGTGATTGATTCCTGATATTCTACTGAAGGTACAACTATGGGAGTTTGCCATATCTCCTATGGCAAACTCCCATAGTTGTAGAGTAGGCCCAAAGCTTAACAGTCAACGATTTTTTGATGATTATGAAAACTTTGCGCAAACTTGCGCAAAAACATTAAACTTAGCGCAACATACCTGCAATGTACGCATGCTGTACAATTGCCGCAGACACAGGATACCCTCGGGTTGTTGGACAGCAAGTCTCGCTGCGCCTCCGAGTGCCAACGTCGAGTCCTGTGCCGCTCAGTATGTGTGTCATCCCAGCTGCCTGATGTTATCTGTGGAATATAAAAAGGAGGTTTAATATGCTAAGGTCTGTCGTTCATAAAATGGAATTAATGGAACGTAGTGTAAATTAGATAAGTTCCTAAGTACAGAAAAGGAATTTACATATTTTACTTACAAAACAAAAAAATATATGATTTTTTATTCTTTAAAAAAAATCGTTGCCCCACATTAGGATTTTCTCGTGTATCGTGGGTGCGTTTACAAACATACAATATCACATACACATCACACCCAGACCCGGAACAACTATCTGTGGATCACACAAAGAGTTGTTCCGTGCAGGAATCGAACCCACGACACGTTGCGCGGCAGCCAGTTGCCCAGCCACCGCGCCAACCGTGCAGTCAAATGATCACACCATGTTTGACCATAACATAACGAAGACACAACGTTATTTTTGTCAGGGTAAAATCATCAAATGAGTTCTCTCGTCCGGAGTAAGGCGAAACGGCGAGGCAAGGCGGGAGTGTCAGATGTACTGAATTTGATATTGTTTAGTAACAGTTTTGATTTTGACTAGTTGGCAACTACCCTGCAGTTAATGTAGCAGCTACAATAATTGGCCAGTACTAATAATAATTCAGCCGGGGTTGCGGGGTAAGCGCAATGAAGCACCGCGACCTCGGCCCAGAGCAGGAGAAGGAACAGGGGGGTTTTTAGTCAGTAATAGTCTGACACTCCCTCCAGCCCGGCCCTGGGCGGGAGAAGTCATTTGATGATTTTCCCCTCACAAAAAAGTACTAATAATAATAAGAAAATTAAAGTTTTTTTTTATTATATAGAAGTTAAAATTCCGTTGCATATGTTACTGTATTTTCCAAAAAGCCGATAAGTACCTCATATTGCACATGTTATTGCTGTCTCGGGAATCGAACCTAATGCAAATTGCTCGAATTAATATCTGACCTCTCGGCCCTCCTAATTCTGTTGTTCTGTAAAACCAAATCTTTGGTTCAAAAAATTTAAAACTACTAATTTAAGACGAAATTCGACTCACCTGAATCTCAACCGGCAATTTCTTCTTAAACTCATCACTATCACTATGTTTCACATCACTACTGTTAATCACATCACTACACCTAACATTAAGATGACTAGAATCCTCACTGACATTCACGCTCACAGTTCGCACATCGTTTTTATCCGAAGCGCCATTCTTCACGCTAGGCGGCGAATTCCCGATGCTAGGCGAAGAATTCCCGACGCTAGGAGAAGAATTCCCGACGCTAGGCGATGTATTCCCGACGCTAGGCGTCAAAACCCCGATGCTAGGCGATGTTGTTACGGAGTTGTTTTTGCCTATGTTGTTGATAGGCGTGGAGTTGTTGATGTTAGGCAAGGAGTTTGTAATTTTAGTTGGGGATGGGGTTATGTTTCTGGGTTGGGCAGGGCTTAGGGCGCGGGGCGGTGAATGAGTTTCCCGAATCGCTTGACTGCGTACCAGTTGTTTTGATTTAAAACTCTGTAAAAAAAGAAAAGGTATGTTTATTTTTGATTATCCTTTTTTCCTTAACTTTGTTTTAACTTTGTTTTTTTTTTAACTTTGTTTTGTCTGTATTTCTAGTGAATATGCGGTACATTGGCGGATTTTTCGCCTCCAGTAACTTAGTAATAACAATACAAGCGTTTTTATGCACTGGTTTTCCGTAAGGCCGTTGTATCACTCTGGTTGAGAGCTCTTACATAACTTGAGGCTAAACTAATTTTCGAGTAACATTATTAAAAAGTTAATAAAGTCATTTGGAGTTTTATACAATTATGTAGTATGATTGTGAAGTCTAATCTGGCAAGAAAACTTGAACTGTGAAGCAAATATCTTTAATAGATTGAGCTGAAATTTTGTATACACCTTAAGTTTGCATGACCATAAATGCTAAGTTGTATGACGTTTTTTTATCTATTCTAATATTATAAAGAGGTAAAATTTGTAAGTTTGTATGTAGGGGGTAATCTTTAGAACCAGGGTCAGATTTCCAAAATTCTTTCACTGATAGATAGCTACAATATTCCTGAGTGCTATATGCTATGAGACATCACGCTACGATTAAATTTAGCCGAGCAGCGGGTGAAACCGCGTGGGAGTAGCTAGTTTATCATATTAACAGTAAACACAAGATTATCACTTAAAATAGCAACTAAAAACCACTAAGATTTAAACACTATCACGTCACTATAAATCCATAAAAGTTTCTAAGTGTGGGAGAGCCATGCTTTGGCACGGATGGAGGCTCGAACGGAGTGATATCACGGCCTCACAGAAAACCGGCGTAAAATAACCACAGCGTTGTGTTTCGCCGTGTGAGTAAGGTTACTGGAGGCCCAATCCTGGATCGGAGGAGGGGAAGGATTAGGTAGATGTTAGGATTGCCCAAAATCTCCAAAAACCTAATCTCTAAAAGGTCGACAACGCACTCGTAACTCCTCTGTTGCAGGTGTCCATGGGCGACGCTGATTGCTTACCATCAGATTATCCTTCTGCTCGTTTGCCTACTTACAACATAAACAAAAATAAAAAAAACGTTGCTCCAGATTAGGATTTTCTCCTGTGTCGTGGGTGTACAAACATACAATTTTCACATACACTTGACACCCAGACCCACCTTCAAGCTTGTCTATGAAAATATTTTCCTGTCTTTTCATAAACAAAGAACTTCTTACAACAACATCTGTATACAGACTTAAAAAGATACGTTAATTACTCAGCATAATTAAGGTTGCCAGTTAATTATCTAGACTTATAAAGCTGGCCTTGTCAGATAAGTGACGGGGAGGGGAGGGGAGACCTTCAACCTTCCACAGCTAGCCTTGGCATTGAGAGAGGGTGTAATGGCTGCAGGTTTATGCTAAATGCAGGTGCTGCATATAAATCCTACTAATATTACAAACGCTATAGTTTGTGTGTAAGTACTGATTTTTTAAGTGTGTGTGGGAGAGCCATGCTTCGGCATGTATGGGACGGGTCAACCGGAGTGATAACAAGACCTTACAAAAAATCCGGCGTGAAACAACTACAGCGTTGTGTTTCGCCGTGTAAGTGAGGTTACCGAAGGCCCAATCTTTCTTCCCCTCCCCCAATCCCTAAATCGCTGAAACCCCAATCCCCAAAATGTTGGCAACGCACTCCTAACTCCTTTGGTGTTGCATAGATTCGCCCTGTATGACCAAAGACTAAAACAGAACTAACCTTTAAAGCGTGATAATTCTTTAATTCTCTTAATTTTCTTATGTGATAGGTCGGCAAACGAGCATTTGGATTACCTGATGGTCAGTTAAGTGTGGGAGAGCCATGCTTCGACACGAATGGGTCGGTACGACTGGATTGATACCACGGCCTCACAGAACGCCTGCATGAAACAACCACAGCGTTGTGTTTTGCCGTGTAAATGAGGTTACCGGAGGCCCAATTCTACCTCTCCTCTAATCCCTTCCCAATATCTAAATCTTCAATATTCCAGGGCACTCATAACTCTTTTAATATTGCCGGTGTCCAAAGGCTGCGTCGATTGCTTACCATCAGGTAATCAAAGTGAATTTTCTTTGGCGGTTTATTAGGTATTTAAAGATAGAAGATATAACATAGAATCAATCTATATAAAAGATTTTTTTTTTATTATTATTATTTAATAGGTCGGCAAACGAGCAGACGAATTACCTGATGGTAAGCAATCAGCGCCGCCCATGGACACTCGCAACGGAGGAGTTACGAGTGCGTTGCCGACCTTTTAGGGATTAGGGATTTGGAGATTTAGGGATTTAGGAGGGATTGGGGGAGGGAAAGGATTGGGCCTCCGGTAACCTCACTCACACGGCGAAACACAACGCTGTGGTTATTTCACGCCGGTTTTCTGTGAGGCCGTGGTATCACTCCGGTCGAGCCGACCCATTCGTGCCGAAACATGGCTCTCCCACACTTAAAACCAGTATTAAGAAAGTTCTATAATCAATGATATCTGCTTACCCTGTTTCTATTAAGCTGTGTAGTTTCCTCAGAGCTGGGGCTCTTCTCTACTTCAGTATTCTCCATTGTTGATATCACACTGAAATATAAATAGAGAAATTATATGTAAAAGTTGCCTAATAGTAGTTAATAATTATGGAGACAATGTATTGTATTTCTTGGTATTATTAAAATAGAGTTCAATTTAGGTTTCATAGGCCAAAATCGATATCTGTTGTTGATGCACTTGTTAATTCATAGTTTCTGTAATAGTAATAGGTAATACAAGATATATTTTGGGATACTTATATAATAATTATTAAGGAGCCATTCTATCTGCCAAAGACACATTTTATTTTTACTTGTAAAAAGTGCTTGACTGCGATCCCACCTGATGTAAAGCAGTGATGCAATCGGTGTTGGTAAGGCGCACTATTTTATTAAAAGCCTATTCACTCTAGCTTTGAAGAATACATATCATGTACTTTCGTGTCGTGACGCGTCAGTTGCATATTCATTATACATTTAAGATATATTGTTGTGCCGTGTCATGTCGAGTTCAAAATCTTCATTAAAATAAAAACGGCATTTTCTGGAGCATCAAGACACGTAACGTAGTATATTTCTGTCACTTTTAGGTAAATGTGTGATTAGAATAACACTTAATCTTGGCCATTGACTTTATTTTCAAGGAACGAGACTAAAATGAATTTTAAAAAATCAAAGGCCCATTAACGGCTGATTTTTCAATAGCCAGATAAATGTTATCTGAGGAAAATAAAATTGTTGCTGTCACTGTCTTATACAAGCATTCTGACGCGACAGCATCATAATTATTCCCCATGTACCTTTTATCCAACCATTGAAAAATCCCTAAGAAGCCCTAAGAAATCTATTTACTAAAAATATAAAGAAAGAATACATTGATACTAACCTTTCACTCACTCTTTATTACAATAATCTAAAACACCGTTTTATTATGTAAAAGGGGGAAAAATTATTACTTATTTATTTATTTATTAAAGAGATTGGACCAACTGACTACCGCTAGAAGGCAACTATTTCACGTAACACCAATAAACTACAGAGTTTAAAGCCTCTTTACACGAAAACTTTTTTTAAAACGTAAATCAAAAAAAGAATTCGCGCTCTTAAGTTGGTAGCTTATATAAAAAGTTTGGAACACAATATTCTTATGTTGGTAAGCTCGTATTTCTTTTTTATTTTTAGTTTTTTTATGACTTTTGCCGTGTGCGCACGTGGACGGGAGTTGACGGAGCGCATTTTTTTTTAATAAATTCGTTTAATTCAAGTTGGTTGAAATGTGAGGGAGTGCGCGTTTGTTTAGATGGAGGTTTTCCTGTGCCACGGACGCCATTTATCTGCAACAAATAGAAAATAAAATTATGAGATATTTCATGCATTCTTTTATTTGTAAACCATACTTGGAATATCCTATCCTATCTAATATTTACACACCATAGGATAAGCAGAGGTAAAGTAATACCAAATAAACAAATATAATTTTGACAAAAATAAATCAAAAGGCACAGTGAAGTTTTTTTGGGTGGGGGGGGGGGGGGAGATCATCATACGACTTCTCACGCCCTGGGTGGGCCGAGAGGGACTGTCAAGGCTCTTTTTGCCCACCAAATAGCGTCAGTATGGTGCATGTGATGACTGCCAACAAGAAAAGGTTGAATTGGTCAACAGTTACCGGTGTTAGGTGAGATATTACTTGCATGTTGAATATATTTAAAAAAATGTCTCTAAACCCTATTGAGACGAATTAAAGTACCATTTTATTTTACCTGACGCTTAATCCTTCCCCTCCCCCAATCATTACATCTCCAAATCCCTAATCCCTATAAGGTCGGCAACGCACTCTTAACTCCTCCGTTGCGGGTGTAAATGGGCGGCGCTGATTGCTTACCATCAGGTAATCCGTCTGCTCGTTTGCCGACCTATTACATAAAAAAACCTTTGTAGTGAGTATTTCTTACAAATGTACAGGTAATTAGTATTGGTAAACTGAAGCCCGTTAAATTACAGTGACTCAGAGACTTAGAGGGTGATACATTGTAGGATTAAAATTGTATTTCTTCATAGTAGAAAAACTACGAATTTAACAACAATAATTCAACATACTCCAAGCAGATGGCACTAGTGGTGTTTTTAGGCTTATACCTAGGCAATGTATTGTTTGATTTCATTGTAGTTTAAATATTAAATCATCAAAACCCCAAGCAAACGCCGGCGTTTGTTCTATTGTTTTCCTTCCTATCGGGTCTCGTATAACCACAAAATCCTTATGAAGAACTAGCTACTCTAGCGCGGTTTCACCTGCTGCTCAACTCCATTTAATCGTAGCGTGATGTTTTATAGCCTACAGCACTCAGGAACCTTGTAGCTATCTATCAGTGAAAGAATTTTGGCAATCCGGCCAGCGGTTCTAAAGATTACCCCCTACATACAAACTTACAAATTTTATCTCTTTATAATATTAGTTTAGATGATAAAAAACATGTGTTAATCTAGACTGTAATCTATCTCTGTTTCAAATCTCATTCAGATCCTTACGTAGGTACTATGCCGCAGACAGCTGGCTAAAATAGCCGTTCAATCAATCAACTAGCTTTTATCGTGGTACAATTTGAGTAGCTTTTTATTTCGGACGGCGACTGGGTTTCTGTGTTCCAACCTAACCTAATAAGTGTGGGAAAGCTATGCTTCGGCTCAACCGGAGTTACAGAAAACCGGCGTGAAACAACCACAGCGTTGTGTTTCGCCGTGTGAGTGAGGTTACCGGAGGCCCAATGCCCCTTCCCCTGATCCCTGCTCAATCCCTCAATCTCCAAAACCCTAATCTGTAAAAGGTCGGTAAGTACACTCTTAACTCCTCCGTTGCCAGTGTCCATGGGCGCGCGGACAATACTTTCGCGTTTCAACTTACAGCCTGAATGAGAAATTTAGTCATTCATTCCAACGACGTTGCTTGGAAGTTGAATTCAACTACATGGCTAACTAATTAACACTCGCGCATTTATAATATTAGTTGTGATACCGTCACATCATTGAGTCTAAGCAGTAAAACAAGGCAAGTTCCGTCCGCCAGTAACTTATGTAAGCCGGAACGAAATGCGGCAATCATTCACCTTTATCGAACGATCTCTTGTTCGAGTCCAGTGTCGCACGACACGTCACTTTAATGTTTTATATTTCTCTTTTAAAAAAGTTTTCCCCACATTGGGATTTTCTCCTGTGCCGTGGGTGCGTTTACAAACATACATATTCACACACACAAGTCACCTATTTGTGGATCACACAGTGCACAGCAGCCAGTTGCCCAGCCGCTGCGCCAACCGTGCAGTCTATGTATAATGTAGTGGGCTAGCGTTTGCCTACTCGATAGATCACGCATGCCTTTGAGCAGCCTATTCACTCGGGCCCTAATGACATCCAGGATAGTTTATAGGCCGTGGAACATAGAGACTTTAATTAGTAATTAATTACACGGATGGAAATCAAAAACATTATGATTAAACTAAAAAGTATTTTTCTGTATTCTAATGTTATTCTTACCGATTCCAAAAGGGATTAAGGTTACGTTTTTATTTTAGAAAGGTTTAGGTATATAACATGTCTTTCTAACGAAGTATTCTTATACAAGTAATGCAACTGTAAGTTCAAATTATTTGATTATCCATTTTAAAATAAAAAAACCACTCGCGGGCATGTATAGTTTCTACACATACATTTTAAATTTCCTTATCTGGTAAAACCATGATAAATACAACCAACACCCATTTTCTTATCGCATGACGTGTATCAATGGAAACGGTACTTTCGTAGCCATGACCAAATGTCATGGCCGCTACATCAGATGCTACGGGCTACGGGCTACGGGCTACGACAGTGAGTCACCGGATTGAGCCACTGTTATAGTGCAGAGGTTAGTTTATATGACCCTGGTTAAAATACCATGTTTTATTCCTTGGTTGAGTAAAATGACTTTAGTTTTATTTTTAAAATTCTTTGTCAAAAACTGGGAGTTGAAGATTTAAGGTTGGACTAGTGTGAAACAATGGCGGTAAACAACGCTAGCTTTCTGTATTATCACTCCGATCGAACCGGTTCACTACCAATAGCGGCATAACTTTTTTAAATTTCATAAATGCCAGGAATTTGGTCGCTATCATGCCTGGTGGTAAGCCATCGCTTACTACCGATACATCATGCGACCTACGATGGAGTATGCCTACCCATAAGCAACCTATTCACTCGGGCCTTAAAGACACCCAGGTTATACCCTTCGAGGAACACATTCCTGCAAAGAATTCCATTCTTTAGCAGTTCTGATTATAAAACTGGAAGCGAAACACTTCGTGCTTGTGGGTGGGATATCCACCATAAAGCGATAACATTTTGCCGACTGTCTGTGGTACGATGGTGAAAAGGACTAGGTCGAATCAAGGCATGTTGTTCTCGCAAACATTCTCAGAAATGTATCATAGTTTTCACAAATAACAGAAAAACGACTCGGGATAAAATAATACGTAGCGAAAACTTTAGATAATTTTAATATATTATCATAAAATACTCTATAGAGTAATATAACAATAGTACATAATTAACAGCTACGTATAAGTTTGACTACGACGTAGCCGACCTAATCGTAGCAAGTTGAGACGCGTAGCCCGTAGCTCGTAGCGAATAGTTCGGCGAGTCTAATTTAATAATGTCGATAATGTAACCTGTATTAGAATAAAAAATTACTTAATTTAATATTACTACTTGTGTCATTAAATATTAATTTCTGGGAACTTTTGGCAATGAGCTACAGATTATGATTAAGTAAGAATGTTTTATTGTTAATTCAAAGAATGCATTTTGATAAATTTTCCCCTGAATAGCTATATAAAAGAGCCACAAAATGGTCGAGAAGCTACCAAGGGCCAAAACCTAGTAACCAACGTAAATGAAAATAAAAATGAAATTTCTAATTGTGATACATAGTAGTACATTTGGTTGGTAATTTTGAAATCAGAGTGCGCTATGATCAGAAAGCATCCAAATTTTCTTGACGTATTACAATGGAAACAATAAATTACGTCAGGCAAACAGCCATGACCTCTTGCCCTTGTTACAAGTTCAGAGGCGTGAGTCATCACCGCCTACTCTGAAACTTACTTTTACAGGAAAGAAAAGGCTTCTACTGCACCAGTCAATTTTTTTCGATTAATACGCGATACAACTTTTGGGAATTAAAAAGGTATGAACTGAATTGTTTTGTTGACAACTAACATAACATAAGTTTTATGGTCCAGACCTCTCTCTCTCTCTCTCTCTCTCTCTCTCTCTCTCTCTCGCCCTAAGTAGGCGTGACCACCTGTGCTTGGTCAAGGACAATTGGCGAAATTATAAGCCCAGTTTTCCACACGATGTTTTCCTTTACCTTATGCCTGTGGTGTCTAAATGAACCTAGAAAGTACATATGACTCGGAAATAGTCACATTGGTACTTGCCATGTTTCAAACCTTCATGCATGAGTAGCCACGTTATCTTTCCACCAGCCACCTCGGCATAGCGACTCAATAAGACTCTTGTACGCATTGGATGAAAAAGGTTAATTAAAAAATGAATATTTTTCAATTGACTTTTTAAAATACAGTAAACAAATTACTTTATTTCGTTTATCAAAAAATAAAAATCAACATAACACACAAGAGAAACGGGACTGAAAACTGTAATTTTCAGTAAATTTCAGGCCGTTATCGTTATTCCCGGGCTCCGGTCGTGGCGTTGACCTCCTGAAATAGGTCACCTAGTACCCTGCGCACTGCAAGTGAGGGAGGGGGAGGGATAGGTGACCTGATTGCAGGACTAGATCCTATTTAGGTTATTGAGAGAGGCCTATAAAATAATTTGATGTAATTTTATATATGACTACATATTATAAAACAAAGTCGCTTTCACTGTCCCTAATATCCCTATGTATGCTTACATCTTTAAAACTAAGCAACGGATTTGGATGCGGTATTTTAATAGATAGAATAATTTAAAAGAAAGGTATATGTGTATAATGACCTCCATTAAATAGTGGATAAATTTAGTATTAGCACTGCACTCGTCCGAAGTCTGGGTGACATAATAATGTACATTATCTGAAGCCTGTGTTCAATACGGAACATACGGAACAGAGTAAAAACTCTTAAAAAAATTAAAACGCTGCACCATCCTAATATTTCCTTCAGCGTTGTAGATGCGTTTAGAAACATACAATTTCATATACACATAATACCCAGACACGGGAAAAGAGTTTTTGCGTGTGGGGATCGAACTCGCCACGGGTTTCATGGCAGCCGTTTGGTCGACACAAAAA